GCACCCCCCCCGCGCCTGGCTCCCGGACAAGCCCTGCCAGGGCCACAGCTGGGGTCAGTGCCCCGCTCCTGCGCAGGCACCTGGGCGCTGGCTGAGGGCGGGCAGTGTGGGCTGAGGGGCACCCCGGGGCGCTGCTGGGAGCCGGGTCAGCACCCCTCGCCCCGCCGTCCGCCCTGCAACACCTCCCGCGACTCCCCCACCCCCCCCCCCCCCCCCCGGGGGGGGGGGGGGGGGGGCAAGCCTTTGGGCTGGGGGCCACTTAGCAGTAGCGGCCTTAGGGGAGAGCAAACCGGGCGACCACCCCACACTTTACAAAAATAACAATTCATGACACTATTTCTATCATCAGTGTTGTATTCAGAGACTTTCGTTGAAGTTTCATGGATAGGGCAACATGAAATAGAAATCAAAAATGTCCCACTTGCTTCTAGGTCATCAAAATTAAGCCTCTAAGAGGCCCCGAGTGACTCTTGCCCAGGGCCCCAGCAACCCTAAGGCCACCACTGCACTTAGGGAGGTTTGGGGAGCTGTTGTAGATGGGGTCAGCACGCCCCTCTTCCCCCTACACCCCACAACAGCTCACCACAGCTCCCTAAGTCTGGGGTGGGCAATTCTTTTGGCTGGACTCCTTTCTCTCTCTCATCCCAATGCCCACACCACCTGAAACTAGCACGCCCCGATCCCCATGCCACACAGAGCTGCAGCACGCCCTGATCCCCACCCCAACCCAGAACCTGCCAGGCACGTCCACAGGTTAGGCCAGCACCCACCTGGCACGCCGGAAGCAGCCTCGGGCACGTGCTGGCATCAGCTGTGGACACAATTGGCAGGTTCCTGGTGGGGATCAGGGCATCCACCCAGGTTCACAGCTGACGCCAGTGCATGAGCGCTGGATGGAAGCAGTCTCGCCCGTCCGCCCAGCACGGTGGAAACAGCCCTGCCTGGCACCACGCAGTGGCTGGAGCTGCTGGCTGCCCATGGGCCAGATACCTTGAGTTCATGGCTGCCTGCCTCTGGGCTGCACACAACCAGTTGTATGGCTAGATCTGGCCCACAGGCCGTTTTTTGTCCACCCTTGGCCTAGCTGGAGCCGGTGACAAAAAGAGGATCAGAATGGATGGGAGAAGAGAAAAAAGGAGGAGGAGATGCAAAAGCGTCCCTCCCTGAGATGCCAGAGGGGAAGAATGAGCAAGCTTGAAAAAGAATCGCACCTCAAAGAAAGATGAGGTTTAAGGATAAAAAGCACTAAATGCAACAAGACTGAGAAATATTATGCAAAATGTGCTCAGAGGTATATTTTATCCAGACTGATAAAGCCAAATAAACATTGCTTTATCAGCAATGCCTTTTTAATATGGGAGACAAACTATAGAGTAGGCAGATTATGAAAAGATGGGAAGAGACCCCCCTCTATCATCAAGTCCAGGCTCTCACTATGACAGTCACTGTGTCATGTAATCCTATTCACAAATTTATCAAACTCCATTTTAAAATGACTTTGTTTCTTTTTAAGTCAACCTTGATCTCTGCCATGGATTTGCTTTTTCTCTTGCACAGACATCTGTGTTTGGCCCCAGTGCAGATGCATAAATTATTGTACTTATATAAGTAGCCCCATTAAAGTCACAAGTGCATGATTAGCATCCAAATAGCACCAGGTTTGTCTCATTGATTAATAACATAGTGCTGAGTGAAGACATTTTTAACAAGAAGCAATGTGACGCGTACCTGAGAGGCATCTGTGAATGGTGTAATCTGTACTTATTTGTTTATAAGAGGCTTTAGTTGGGATGCAAGAGGATTTTAATACTAATTATAATTTTTGTTTTAAAATGTGCCCTCTTTGCACACATTTTTTCTTTGGTCAATGCCACTCCCTTGGGAACAAAGCTAGTTGTTTCCCTCTGTGTTTGACAAGTCAATGTAAGAAAGGCAGGGCACAGTTTCAAAGTCTACTGCCTGATTTAAGCAGGTGAGAGGGTAAGAGCAATGAACCAGGCCGTTGCTCTCTATACACTCAGTGCTGCCCCTGTCCAGATTCACCAATAATTCCTAAAAATGAACTGGCAAGCAAAGCAATTTCTGCCTTTTTTGTTTTTAATTAAAACAGAAAGTCTGAATCTCCAGAGTGATTATTAACCCTCCTTTATCAGATATAACTGAACAACAGTGAACAAAGTGTAGGGCATTTTCTGGAACTAGTGATTGTCTCAGGCAAAGCAGTGGTTCCAGGTGTTCAGCAGCCAAGGGACATTAAGTCAAGCTGGCCACTAAGCCATTTCATTGCTGCCTAATGTGCCATTGAGGTAGGGAAAAAGCAACTCCGTATATCTTTGAAACTGTGCATAAGAGCACTGGAGAGCTCAGTCACAGTCCAGTGCAGGAAACACTTCCAGTGATTGAGATTAGCTGTGTGTACCTTGATTGCTATCACTGAATGCTGATGCAGGGGAAGAAGCATGGATAGCTTTACCAGTGCAGTTTTATTGGTCTCTACCAGGGAAGCTCTCTTGACATAGCCTAATCTTTGCTCTAGTGGGAACTGAATTCACCAACCCAGGTCCCTTCCAGTCCTTTATTGCAGGGGTGTCAAACTCACCCCACACCAGACCACAGGGCTCTTTGTGGGCCAAGCAGTGGAGGCAGTGGGGTCAGTAGCTGTCGCAGCAGCTGCAACAAAGGCAGTGGTAAGCCCTACCCCATAATCCCTGGCTCCCAGCAGCCCCACAAGCCTGTTACAGGCCATACCTTTGACACCCCTAACTTAGCATATACACTCCATGAACTTCTCATTGCAAGATTGGGACTTCAGGCTTTGATTTTCAGAGAGCTGTTCACTTCAGCCAAGACAGCACGTGAATTCATGAACCTCTTGAGAAGTTAGGATTTAAAGCTCTGTATGTTACCAAATAAATTATTTTAATCACTTTTCCACATTCCATTTAACTAAGCATGGGAAATATAAGTTAGGCTATAACCTAAAAGTAACTGAAACAGAATAACGAGGATACCTGTCTTCAATATAATACCATTGGTTCAGCATTGGATGGTTGCCATGCCTGGTAATGAGCCAACGTTTTCCAAGTCTTTTTGACTCCCAAACAGTTTTTGAACTTAAGCTCTCCTAATGCATAAATGAAAATTGAACTTGGCCTCTCCTAAAATTGAACTTGACCTTTCTTAACTTGACCTCTTGTAACACAGCACAGGGTGCTCTGTTACCTGCAGGGACCTGAGCAGCAGCAGGGCAGTCTGCAGCTGCTTGCAGCCCCAGTTAGGCATGGCTGCCTGATTGGGGAACAGGGCTCAGCTGCCCTTTATAAGGACACGGCCCTGACAACATGCTTGCAGGTGGCAGTGGCTGCCACCACCAATGATAACAACACCTTGGAGGTAAGGGCTGGGGAAGGAGGAGACCTCATAGTCCTGAGTATGACTGAAAACTGCACCATGCCAGGGTAGGGTAGCCTGCTGGGACTGTTTGTGGTGGGACAATCCCCCAGAAATGCCAGGCCAATTATCTCCCGAGTGAAAGAGAAGTATGGGTTGCCTTCTAACCCCAGCCCCCAGACCTGGTGGGTAGTTAGATCTGTACAGAGGGAGCCCAGGCACACTGCGAGTGCTGAGGCAGGGCCCAGGCCAGGTGGAGGCACCTGTGGCAGTGCCCAGGATTGCAGATAAGCCTAAGGTCACAAGGGAATTGGGTATAAGGCTCCTGGGAGGTGGGGCCCTGAGCCTTGGGGAGCTATTGATGAAGTTTCTGAGGCCAGGGGTAAGGGGAATGCACAGGGAGGGCAAGGGGATGCGCCTTGGAGTCCTGGTCCATAGGACAGGCTTGGAGGCCCAGAATGTGTGGGCTTGGAAGCCCAGTGTGTGTGGGGCCTGGGGCCCAGGGCTTGGAGGCCCAATGTATGGGGCTTGGAGGCACAGTGTGTGGGGCCTGGGGCACAGTGTGTGGGACTTGGAGACCCAGAGTAAGCAAGTAAAGTGAGTAAAGAAGAAACATCTGTGAGGCATGGGACATGATAAGAGAAGGTCAGAGTCGTGTATATAGGCCCTTGTCATCAGGGCAGATAAATGGGCAGCTTCCCACCTGAGTAATATCTTTGTAATTATTAACATCAAAGCATGGCAGGAGTGGAGGCGGGCAAATAGCTCTAAGACAAGTGGGCGGGCCTACGTTTGAGACTGGCCCCGAGATGCCTACTTGTTACACTCTCCAAACACATAAAGGAAAATCTCCTGGACCCAATTCTTCCTTCCCACAAAATGAGCAATTCCACTTGTCCCCATGTCCGTTTACAAAGAACTGGAGAAGGCATTCTAAGGAAGAGGAAATGAGGAGAAATTACAATGCATTTCCCATCATAACTCTAGAGTCCTTGAAACATGTAGTAGACAAGAGGCAGCGGAGGACAAGAGGCAAGCATGTAATTTCAGGTAAAGGCTCCAACTTGCCCTCAGGTTTAGTCATCATCATTATTACACTGTTACCAGCTGCTGTGCTGATAAAATACATTGTGTGGAAAGGCTACAGGCTGAAGGTCAGGTTTCTGCCTCATTGTTGCTGTTAAATTGATTGAATTCTAAATCTTGCTGAAAGACTCAGTTTCTGTCAAAATAAAAATACAAAATATGGGAGTCAAGACTCACAGATCCATTAAGGCTAAATACAGGCAGTCAAAAAGCCCTAGGATGAATCGAAACAATCTTCACAGTTTCATCTAAGCTGCGTAGATTGAACCGATAAGCAAGTGAACACACATTCATTTTTGATTCTGGAAATGCAGCCAGAAAAGTGGTGGCCCAGAACAGAAGCTGGGGGTGCACTAGAGCCTGCCTCCCTGCTCCACTGGAGCCAGCAACTCCAAGCTGGCTCCAAGCTAAGGCCCAAGCCTAGCTCACCCACCCTGTGAGGGGCGGAGGGATTTGCTGGGGAGTTGCAAAGTATCCTGGGATACTAGGGGACTGTGAGTTAACTTCCATTTGGAGGGGATCTGAGCAGCACTTCAATAAATGTATTTAACCTAAATCAGTTAAGTCTAATACTACATCCATCCAGGTTTATTTTAAACTGGTTACAGCCACCTTGAAAGTAGTTCATGTGTACTCAACTTTTGTTGTGTTACAGATTTGAACTGGTTTCTAAGGTTTATGTATAATTTTTGTCCCTAGCCTAAGAGAGGAATGAGAATATGTACTCTGGTATGGGCTTGCCCTCTGTTCAGTTTGTATTTTGAACAAGTACAGCTTAGTTGGAGGGTTTCAGGGGATATACTTTGCTATTATCCTGTGAAAGCCTAAGGTACTCAATGAAAAGTGTCCTATTAACATCAGTGGACTTGGAAGCATATCTGTCAAGAGGTTTCTAATGGAGTTTGTGGATTGTTATATTATTTAAAGTTCAGTTCATCTATTCTCCATATATGGTGTCCTCTTTCTAGTCAAACCAGTAGAATAAACTAATTCTCCATCTGTCTATATTTAATACCTGTGATTGCAGCCAGAGACATCCTGAGAAAAGGAGAATGTCTGCTATTTATAGGAAATGATATTGTGAAAGTTTCCATCTATTGCTGAGTCTTTGCCTTGACTTAGAAAATCCCACCCAAATGATGCTATTAGACAGCAGACCAGTTGCCATAGTCTTTTTGTGATTAGCTTCAACAGTGAAAAAGGGCCATAGTCTGGTTCTCAGTCAAGTAAAAGTTATTCAAGAGAACTGAAGCAATGTTGGGATGGACGCAATTATTGTGATATAGACATCGTAGTGTGGTACGGTTCTTTAGAAGCTGGACTTATACTCAGGGTATATAATTTGATGGCAAACCGAGCATGCCTACACGTCGCCATATAGCGACGTTGCTACAGCGCTGTGCTTTATAGGTAGTTACCGCACTGTACACACGGCACATGGGTAGATTTTGCCGCTACATTGCCATAGCAGCATGCTATAACCAGGGATCATGCCACTATGGCAATGTAGCTGGCAATCATGTGTAGACCCGCATGATCGCTATGTTGCTATAGCACACCATTATCGCTATGTAGCCATAGGGTGACATGTAGATGCACCCACAGTGTATAAAATCCAAATTTGTTAATTAAGTTTATTTCTAAATTCTAAAAATCCTGACAAATAGGAAATAGCTAGGGTAGAGTTTAAAGTATTAGAAAACGAACACACATTATTAGATAGTAGCATATCTAAAAAATCAAGTTACCAGTGCAATAGCTACTTACAGACTTTCAAGTGAACTGAAATCTTAGCTGAATCTTAGTACACATTATCCTGTGACATGAGACACCATAATTGAATGTGGAGGGAAGTGGTGTGATAGGATATGTTTTAGTTTAGAGGAATAGAAATTCATATGAATTCTTTTTTTAAATCTTTTTTCCAATTACAATTTGTTCAGTAAAGGGTGGTGATGACAACCACAGATTTGTAAGTGGAGAAGGAGTAAAGACTAGTTTTCATGCTAAGCTTAGATTTTAGAAGAATGTTGAAATGTCAGTAACATGCAAGAACTTTTTCTCTTACAAATAAAGCTTCCTGTTTTTCCTGTTAGGTCATTTGGACCCTTTTCCTTCTGGGTACAACTGGAGATACTGTGAGGAGCTTCAGGAGCTTTGGCAGTTCACCTTTCAACCCTAAATTAGCATTTGGCATTACATCACTTTTCAGGTCAGACCAAGTTAGTAATTTTCTTGGTGGGTAGCATGCTTATTAACCAAGCAAAAACATTCCATTCTGAAAACCAGTTAGGGTGAGTAATCTTTCTTCCTGTCCCAGTACATAAGATGAATACCAGTCTGTATTCTTCTGGAATACTTACTACTTAATGCATTCCTGTTCAGTTTTGTTTTTCTCTCTCTCCCAAATATCATAGATTGTGTCTTCATTTAACTAGGAATAGGCCGAAAACATAACCAAAGCCAGCCTTTGTGAAGCTCTTAATAGTGCAGTCCTTTAAGGAGATTTCTGTGTATAACAGGAACTTGTCTACATGGCACGGTGCATTACCAGGTAGATGCACCAAAGCTAGTGCTAAGAAAACTAGTTCAGGCACAGGAAGCAAGATAGCCATGTTAGTCTGGTACTTTATCTGGGCTAATTAGTTCTGTGAAGGGTTAATTCTCAGAGCTAATTCTGGTATCTCGACATGGCATTGCAGTGTACTGTGTAGACAACAGTAAAAAGTTTTGGCTTTTTTATCTGCAGTAGGAAGTTATTTAAACAAGGGATTCCTGTTATGATTATTTCGGTAAGAGACATGTTTATCCATGTGCTTTAATGCACAGTGGACTATTTTACTGCTCATATCACATAAAAAACTTTGACATTACACTAACGTGCAGTAAAATACTGTTACTGCAAAGTAACCATCACTAAAAAAGCATGCAAATGTCCAACCGCGCATTAGTGCAGCCTAATGTGCATTAATTTAGTACCTCACATTGGAGGTACTAAATTTAATGTGCATTAGAAAAAGCACATTAATGCATGTGTAGATGTGCCCACTGAGTTACATTTTGGCTCCGATTAACCAATAAGCTTACTAAAACCCAAATTATGTATCTATTGCTTTGACATGAAAAACTACATTGAAAAGACATGAGACATATATGTGTGTGTATATATGTGTATGTATATATGTGTGTGTGTGTGTGTGTGTGTGTATATATATAAAATGTACATGGGGCCAGATTCTATTCCACCTATTAGGCACATAAGTGATTTTAAGCACCTAACTGCATGCCTATCCTACCTTATTCATGTCCCCAAAAACCTATAAAATAAAAAAGGTGGAGGGGGGTCCTCCTCCTCCTCTGTGCTTTTTTGTGACTCAGTCTTAAGGGCAAGATGATGGAGCATTACAAACATAGATGTATTAATGGATTTCAGGTAGATGCAATTTACCAATTGCATCTACCTGAATTGCAACTAAACCAATTGCATCTAAACCCAATTTAGACACCCAATACATGGAATAGAATCCGGCTCTGATGTCTCTGTCCCTTATATAAATGTTCTGCCACCAAATTAAAGGTTTCATGAGAAGGAAGACAAAAGGTAAGTGTAGAAGAAGTTTGTAAAAGATAATAAATATTGCATAGGGCTCAATGTAGCACATCATATTTGGGTGCAGTAATACCCCATATATAAATACCCCATTGAACAAGCAGAATGGAACATGTTTGCCCTCGATCCCAGCTTTTCTCAGACTTGTGAAAGGCATCTGGCATTCCCTGACTACGCAGTGGCTCCTATGCAGATCTATTGAATTTTGGCATGATGTTCTTGCACATAGAGCTGTTGTGCAGTGGAATACAGTCACACATTAAAGGCACGATTCTGATATCTTCCTTAATATCTGTGCTAGCCTCTAGGAAGGAGGTACTATAGCAGACTTGGCTGAGTATAGAGCGACATGTCTCACGCTCTTTTCAAGGGTGGAGATATGCTTGCTTCCGTATGCATACTATTAGTCATTGCTCTTGGGTTGATTAGAATTTTTCTTCAGGTTCTCAGTACGGCATAGTGCAGGTATGGTTTAAAAGCATGATTCAATCCTAACGCAGTTTCTACAGATGATATGCTCTTCCGCTTTCAGGTGAATCTTAGCCAATTTTCTTTGCAACCACTTGAAAATGCCATAACTAGAAATTCAAAGAATGTCCACACATCATAGTGGTGTTGTAGCCACTTAAAGGAATATGTATCTGGTCAATTGCTCCAACAATTACTCCATTATTAATACTTTAGTGATTACCAACTTGTGCTGGAGAAATGAACCTGTTGTTCAAACAAAATAGTAATAATCCGTCAACAAGGAGCAGCTCATTTGCCTCCAGGGTTTAATAGTCACCAGCAACACTTGGTAATTAATTTATTGCTTTAATTATACAGTATATTAACTGTTCCTGCCAACGTATTTTTGAAATAAGAGTTTCATGCACGAGTGGTTTGGGTAAGACTGACAAGACTGCAGAGGTTTTTTTTTGCCTGAGCTGAAAACAACATTAACAGGAAAATGAAGCCCTCAGTCTTCCTGCCTATTAAAAAGACATCCCGCTTTTAAAAGTTGTTTACCATGATTAGAAAATGGATGTTTATTCCTTTCTTCTAAATTGGACCCATTCCCAATGCTTTTGATCAGAAATGGGCCAAGTATTTATTCCTGATGTAACTGACTGCTAAGTTTAATAAATAAAATGAGTGCAGGTTACAGTGAGGATGAATTTGGCCTGTTATTATGAATCACACAATCCTACCAAAATGTACTCATTTCTTTTGAAATCTTCCCATACCATAGACATCTTTTTAAAAGATTGAAATTGTCTATCTCATTATTGGTCACTAGTCTTTGCTTTCTGCACTGTCCATGCATTTTACCTTAGTTCTTGGATAAAATATGTATCCAAGGTGTGTGTGTGTGTGTGTGTGTATTTACACCTATGTATATATCCCTGAGTTTCTATCCCATCTAAGCGAAAGCTACCAAGTCAGGCTGCTTCTTGCTTGCTTTACTTTGGGCTCTGTGACTTACATTTTTGGCTGTATTTTTTCAATAAATGGAGGATGGAGACAGTCCACAGGAGGGCTGCAGAGAGTCCTTTTCCCTCTCCCAAGCTATTCTGTAACATGCTAGGTAAAGCACTCTCCTGGGAAAAAGAAAATCTGGGTTTCAATCCTTTCAGATTGAGGAGGGCCTAGAACTTAAGTCTCCCACTTCCTTCATGAATGTTCCAACCACTAGGCTTGTATATAAAAGACTGCCACCACCATGTGCCTGTCTTCATGTGGCAAGGGCTCTGGATCCCAGGTGCCTAATGAACAGCTTTGACTCAGGTCTCTGAGCTCCAAATTTAGGTTGGAGACAGGTTCAGCCACATCCCAATACCCTCCATGTCCTATTGGCTGGCTGCTGGCAGCTACCTCTTGGTGTTGGATTCTCACTCCTCCACTGGAGGAAACAAACTTCTCTGCTGACTCCCTGTTTCTTTGAAACGTCCTCCTGGGACCAGATACCTAATTTTTAAACATGCTGAAGCCTAATTTGGAGATGCCTACAGGGCCAATCTGTACATGAAAGGCTCCTGTGAATTTTAAATGGAGCAATATAGATGTGATGGAATACCAAAGCTGCAGAGCAGCAAAAGTTAAAACTCAATGAAAACTGTTTGCTGCAAAACAGCAAACAGCCAAAACAATTATGTAATTATATCATAATATAATTTAAATTATTTATATAAAAAAATTGTAAAGAACAATGATGCAAAGACAATTCACATTGTGTTAAGAGACGAGGAAAACCTTAGGGAGATCCAAGTGCACATTTATTTGTAGCAGATCATGATTCAAAACCCATAGAACTGGCAACTATGAGTCAGCCCTAGCTTGATATCCATGCTTACTAAAGAATATGTCAGCAACTCCCAATAACTACCGTCCTGAAAACACTGAATCAACAAAGTAATTGGGAGAAGATATAGATCTTACATGACATACTCAAGTGACAAGTGATAGGTGCTGTAATGAAGACACCTTAAAGGATCTTGATTTTCCAAGGCGTGGTGCTGAACACTGTCTGAAAATCCAGTCCTTTTTTGGAATTTCAACCTGGACGCTCAAAAATGGTACCCAAAAACCCTAGTCAGTTCTGAAGATCAAGGCCATAATACATGTTAATATTTTTCACATCAAAAGTAGCTCTATTTTAGACATTAAAATCATTTATTGGTCCAGTGCTAAAAAAAAATATCCAGAGGATCCTTTTTTCCAGTAAAAAGATTCTATGATGTACCCACTGATTTAAGAAGCATTCTTCTTTTCAACTACCAAGCAGTGTTTGCTTCCTACATTGACATTTTTTTTGGAATAGAAAAAATTATGAATCATCTAGAAATAAGATGTGCATTGTGTATATTCTACATATGTACAAATACTTATATGCTTTTTGAATCTGGATTTCATGATGTTGGCCATAGCATTCCTGATAAAGTTTTCTGACCAAAGAGATGTTTACAAGGTTCTACTTCTGGTTGAATTCAGCAAAAAGAGCCTAAATGCAGCCAGGGCACTAGGGCAAAACCTACAGAAAGAGGGAGAATTGTAGCAGGCAGCTTTCAGGTGCTTTGCTGAGAAGAATCTATCACCCCTAAGTAAGCACCAGACTCCATATATAGTGCATTTGCACAAAGGGATTTGCACAAGCAGTAAAGAAAGCAGAAAGCTGCTGCGGGAAGCCTGTAGGATAGGGGTAGGCAAAACATGGCCCACAGGCCGGATGCAGCCTGCCAGGCCATTGTATCCGGCCCGCGGGGCCCCTAAAAAATTTAGAAAATTAATAATTATCTGCCCCTGGCTGCCTGTCATGTGGCCCTCGATGGCTTGCCAAAACTTAGTAAGTGGCCCTCTGCCCAAAATAATTGCCTGCTCCTGCTGTAGGATATACTGAGGAGAGGTGCGTAACCTAAGCCCCATCCATCAAAAAGTATTAGAGGCCTAACTATGAGCTGTGAGGATGTACCTCTTCCAATAAGAAACTGAGAGCCATGAATTTTCTCCTCATGTTAGGGATCAACACAGCCTCTTTGTGTAATACACACCCACAGGAGATGCTATTTCCCCTTTTACCCAGTAGGTCTCTGGTTAGAGCATCCATTTAGGCTGTGGAAGAC